TGGTGGTATTTAAGGCTCCTGACATCTAATGTCTTGATGGATCGCCCCTGGAAGCAGGGCAGGGCAGGTTCTTCTATTAATCTGTCATAGCTGCATTCAGTCTGTGTTCTTCTAAACTTTTGACCAGTTCTTCTTGAAATCTGATCATTTGCTAACAAATAAAATTTGTTTTTATGTTCAGTTTTTTTTCAAATGGATCATTTATGACAAAATAAATTCATGTTTTAAAACAAGTGCCATATATGATAAAGATAACAAGAGAAGTAAGAAATTATATTCCTCTTTATAATAAGTGTTAATGGAAGTAAACACACAAGAAAGCCAACGTGGCAATATCAGAGAAGCTGAATTTTAAAGATAATTATATAATCAGTATAAAGAAGACTATTATATAATAATAAATTACTACTTATGAATAAATATGCTATGTAATGTATTATGAAGCCAATAGGACAGGAATTGGTGGAATACTGTGGAGTGGGGAGCATGGTAAAAGGATGGAAAAAAATGGTTGTTGAACAAGATGGCTAAGCCTCTAATCCAAACACAGGAGGTTGGGTCTGAAGGACTATTAGTTTCAGGTCAACTGAACTATAAAATGAGAACCTGCCCCAAAAACAAACAAGCTAGCAAGAAAATAAACATGCTAACCAAAAACAAAAGAAATATATACCATATTAATAAAAAAAATAACCGTGTAGGAGTTCCTTCTGTTTGTGTGTTGCGTTCATTGGATAACAAATAAAGAAACTGCCTTGGCCTAGTTGATAGGGCAGAACTTAGGTAGGTGGAGAAGACAGAACTGAATTCTGGGAGAAAGAAAGCAGAGTCAGAGAAAGGCCATGGGACTGCCAGAGTCAGACATGCTGAGTCTTTCTGGGTAAGCCACTGTCATGTGGCGATACACAGATTAATAGAGAAGGGATAAATCAAGATGTGAGAGGTAGCCAATAAGAGGCTAAAGATAATGGGTCAGGCAATGACTTAATTAATACAATTTCTCTGTGGTTATTCGGGGTGTAAGCTAGCTGGGTGGCTGGGACAAACAAAAGGACACCTTCCTTGTGCAACACAGACCAGAAAAGAAAATAGCAGAAAAGGTAAATACATAATCATAGTTAAATATTTTTATGGGACTTAATAGTTTGTTACTTGTGCATTTTGAAAGGAAAAGATTGGTACGTATCAATTAAAAATGAATTAATTAGAATGCAATACAACTCCTGTAACATACAGCTTTATTCAATGAGAACACCAGGTTACAAAACAGGTTCAGTTATAAGGTACATTGGGGCTATAATTGTGTCTAAACTACATTCTTCTTCAATCAGAGAAGGCAAGATGGAGACCTAATCCTGTCTGGAAACAGTAATGATGGTTTCTGGCTTGTACATTTCAAAGGGAAGCAGCTGGATTCCATTCGAGCAAGGATGTCACTACTTTAGTTTGCCGTCTCTATTCACTATTGGAATGAATTGTCTGAATGATCATAGACTGTAGCCACCTACGTACAAACAGAAAGTGAATAATTTTTGTCCTGCCGATGTTTTTCTAGACTTCCGAAAGGACTTTGGTGCCTAGGTATGAACATGGGAGATTCTTAGTCCATGGTACAGAAGTAATGATTTTTTTCAGAGACAGAAATAATGACGGTGAGACTAGGCAGTCTATTGCTCTGTAAGAATTATATAGGCATTCCAAATCTGTCTAAATTTTTTTCTTTTGTAATTGAGATTGTATAGCTCTCTTGGCAAGAGTTAGAGGAGACTATATTCTTTAATTTTCACCCATGAGCTAACTAACTAGCACAGAAAAAGAGTAATAAATCATTCCTTAAAGGTACCGAGAGATGTCTGTTCTCAAATAGGTGTATATGAGGTCTAAACAGACTAACAGAGGATGGTGGAACCTTTAACCCTGATCAACTGGGACTGTATATTGGGATCATTTGGTCCTATGTTATGCATGTGTCCCTTAAAATTTTTACCTTAAAAATTCAGTTCTCAGTGCCACAGAGCTCAGTGGTAGAATTTGAAGGCATGTTTAGTTCATAAGGGCTCTCTCCTCATTTATGAAGTAATTCTGTTCTTGGAGGGAGAGGGCTGGTTGTCACAGAAGCAGGTTCCTTATCCTAAGTGTATATTTTTATAACTCAGGGTTACTGTTCTTATGTTCTCTTATATGCTTTTTTGCCTATCAGCCTTCATCTCTGGGGTGAGGCAGTAAGAAGGGTGCTTCAAGATGTGGTCCTTTGTCTGAGGATTCTTAGCCTTCATGATGAAGGGCCCACTACAGTTATCCTCTTTATATAAACTACTCAGCTGTAACATTATTTAATAGCAGCACAAACTAGACCTAGAAATTTCAAGAAAATACAATGCTCTTTCCCATATATAGGGATTTTAAATGTTACCCATAGATTTCTATTAAATAACCAGAGTGGAAAACCTCAGACATAGAAGGAAATAGCACCCAAAATAACTTATGTACAAGTATGAAGACCCTATGAAAAAGGCAGTATTTGTACATTTTTGGTTCATTCATACATTCTTTTCAGATATTCGGCTTAGTTATTGTTTTCATCTTAGTTCAATTTTTATTAAACAAGTGCTTTGTTATTAAACTAGAGGCAGAAATTCTCTATCCAGATTTCAAAACCTTCCTCATTTGCCTAAAATGCACATTAGTTTTCATCCATTGCTTTTTATTATAAAAAAGACAGCTTCTTTTATTGACTCTGGATTGGAGAAAGAAAGAGATAGAGGAAGAGGAGGAGGCAGAGAAGTAGTAGTAGTAGTAGTAGTAGTAGGAGGAGGAGGAGGAGGAGGAGGAGGAGGAGAGAGAGAGAGAGAGAGAGAGAGAGAGAGAGAGAGAGAGAGAGAATTATCTATGCGATCCCTTCTCACTCCCTCCCACCATTTCTTTCTTGGTTGGCTTTAAGATGCAGATCAAGAAGGCATTCTAGCCGGGCGGTGGTGGCAGATGCCTCCAGTACTCGGGAGGCAGAGGCATGTGGATCTCTGTGAGTTTGAGGCCAGCCTGGTCTACAAGAGCTAGTTCCAGGACAGGAACCAAAAAAGCTATGGAGAAACCCTGTCTCGAAAAATAAAAAAAAAAAAAAGGAAGGCATTCTACCCATTTGGCAAGTGCCTCAGTCTGAGTGTTTCTCCCAGTCAGCTGTTGGAAACTCAATCCCCAAAGGCACATTTTTTTTTTCATGTGTAGAAGTGGGACATTGAGAAATAGGATTAGGTGAGATCTTGAGGGAAAGAGATTTGACCTAGGATGCTTGCTCTCCTTTGCCTCCTGATGCCTTCTGTCATGTTCCTATAGCAAAAAAACAGAATTTGCTCCCATGCTCTTTTGGTTCTCCATCTTTCTGAATTCAGCTCAATAAATGCCAGTTCTTTAAAAACCATCAGTCAGTGATGTTCACTTAGAGCACCAGGAAACAGATTAGGGGAGTATTAGCATTTCACAGTTGGACTCTACGAAGGAGGCTTTAACTCTCTTTTATAAATGAAGATACTGAGACTGGAAAAGATTAAGCAACTTTAGCACAAAGAGACAATTAGTGGCTGAACTTCCACAAAGTACTTGCTTAAAACCTTTTGATTACAGCTTAACCCTGATGTGAGGAAATTATATTATCCTTAGAAACTGTGCTTATGCAAGTGTTAGGAGACACATTCTAGGAACTCAGTTTCTTCCTTTTTTAAACGCTTATTTGCATTTATTTTATGCTGAGTCTAGTCATATGTCATACATTTCTCTTGTCTTCAGTTTATTCTGAAATATATTTTTCTTCTGTGCATCCTTCTCTTCTGGCTTAGGGGTGGTTTTTTTCCTTTGCATGGAGGCTTATCTCAATGGCAAGGGAGATCATGCATGAGTTAATTCACCCCGCTTTCTGTAAGTTCAGTATTGTGTCTTGGGTTTTTAGTTCATCTGGACATGTCATGACTAGAGAATCTACATGTGCAGAAAACATTTGACACCCTTTTGGGACCACCAAACCTGTGTCTAGTCCCACTGTTTGGCTTGGGTATACCTACAGGCAATAAAGCCACCAAAATGCACACATTGCTGCTGCTGCTTCTTCATCTTCTTTTTCCTCTTCATCTTCTTTCTCCTCCTCCTCCTTCTCCTCTTCCTCCTCCTTCCCCTTCCTCTTTCTCTTCTTTTAATTTTACCTCATTGTTTTTAAGAATTTCATACATGCACACTGTATGTACACCACTTCTGTCCTTTCTTCTCCCTGCTATATTGCTTCTTTAAAGGGACATCTTTAACAATCATCAGAACTTGGTGGCTTTTTTTTTTTTTTTTTGTGCATATGACCTTCATGGCCTGGGCAGTTTCACCGATGTTCTTTTAAACATGAAGATTTGAGTTTCACTCTTTCTTATTAATTAATTAATTTTACGTATATAGGTGCTTTTCCTTCATGCATATGTTTGTGTACCAGCTCCTGTGGTGTAATGGTTAAGGCTCTGGACGCTGAATCCAGCAATCTGAGTTCATACCTCTGTAGAACCTGTTCCTTGAGGAAGAGAGCTGGTCATTCATCCTCATCAACTCGGACCATGAAATCCCATATAAACTGGCTGTCCATGCATGCTTCAGCATTGCCGGGAGTGTGTTTCACTTCACGTTTCATATGTATGAGCACTACATGCATGCCTGTTGCCATGGATCCCTTGAAATTGGAGTTACAGCCAGTTGCGAATCACCATGTGGGTGCTGCGGATTGAATCTTCTAGAGGAACAGCCAGTGCTCCCAACCACTGAACCATTTCTCCAACTTCAAGGCTTGAGTTTCTTGATTTGTGGCGTTTTCTTGGTCAAGTGAGTGGCAAATCATTTGCTCAGGTCATTTCAAGCTACTCACAGGACGGTTTTTTTTTTTATCTTAAAAAATTAAAATTTTAAAAATTTTGCTTCTCGTTTTTTCTCTTCCGGTCGCAGGCGCTTCGGGAGCCGCCGATTACCATCCAGCCATGGCCAAGTCCAAGAACCACACCACACACAACCAGTCCCGGAAATGGCACAGAAACGGCATCAAGAAACCCCGGTCACAAAGATACGAATCTCTCAAGGGGGTTGACCCCAAGTTCCTGAGGAACATGCGCTTTGCCAAGAAGCACAAGAAAGGCCCGAAGAAGATGCAGGCAAATAATGCAAAGGCCATGAGTGCACATGCGGAGGCCATCAAGGCCCCGGTGAAGCCCCAGTTGGTGAAGCCCAAGGTGCCAAAGGGCCCCACCTGCAAACTCACCTGTCTGGCTTTAATTGCTCACCCCAAGCTTGGGAAGCGGATTAGAAGCTACACGGCTAGGGGTCATAGGCTCCAAAAAACAAAGCCCAAGGTTCAAGCCAAGGCAGAGGCCTCAGCTGCAGCTCAGGCTCCCAAAGGTGCCCAGGCCCCTGTGAAGGCCCCGTAAAAAGGTCGCAGTCTGCCAATGTGAAGAGAGATGGACTGGTGTGAACACCTACACAGTGTTTGCAGATGATCAGGACCTTATGCTGTTTTTACAAATAAACTTGAGGCAAGTTCTGTTAAAAAAAAATTTTTTTTTTGCTTCTCCTATGTGTGTGAATTAAGGTGAAAAATGATGAGTAGCTTACCATTAGGAAAGAACCTGTTTCTGCTCAATTTTGTGCAGTTAAACTTCAGAATGTTGTGCTAAAAAGACGTGAGTACAAGTTAGGCATCCAGGAAATTGTTTTTCTTTCGCCTTGTGCTTGCTAAATTTGGGGAATTCAAACCGCTGTAAATATGGGGTTACTTACGACAATGGGCCTTGTTTGCTGTGTTTTTGAATCTCTGGTAGAGTATTGCTGAAACACAACCTCAGCACTGCCTAAATTGAAACACCCCATGTCCACCAGTGTGAACCACTGCTACAAGACTAAACTTCATTTTCTTTATAGTGATCCTACTATACTGCCACACTCAGTATACAGAAACTTATATACTGTAATCATTTATTTAAGGCTCTTAATTATCTTCCAAATTTGCATACTCCCTGCTGACATAAGTTTGGGAAGGTTAGAAAGTAACGATGTGTATATGTGTGTGGTATGTTTGTATGTTATGAGTGTAAATATGTATACATTATTGAGTGTGCAGGATGTACATATGTGTATGGTATGTTTATGTGTGTGTGTGTGTGTGTGTGTGTGAAGAGAGAGAGAGGGAGAGAGTGGGGGGATGCATGCTCCATGGTGCACACATGGAGGCCAGAGAACAACCCTCAGGAGCCTAAGTTGATTCTTGCTTCCCACCTTGGTGAGACAAGAACTCCCTTGTTTCTGTCATGTTCCTGTTTGCTCCAGGCTAGCTGGCCTGTGAGCCTTCAGGCAGATTTCCTATTTCTGCCTCCCCATTCCAGTAGGAATGCTGGGGTTGAGGATGGAGTCTATGGCATCTGAATTTTTATGTGGGTTCCTGGAATCTGAATGAAGATCTGAATGCAGGCTTCAGGGCCCCCAAGTTTGTGTGGAAGCTTTTTGCCCACCGAACCATTTCACTACATCTTAAACACCCCCCCCACACACACACATTCATTTCAGGGTCATCCCCTGAGAGTCAGTTGACTCAAGGATTTCAAAATGTTCATTTATACTACTGGTTTCAGATCTACTTTCAAATGATTGGTTTCTTCTTTTGTGTTCTGAGACTGTCTCAATCTGCAGATCAGGCTGCCCCTGATTTAGCTGTGTAGCCCCGGAAGGTCTGGGCCTAGCAACTCTGCTATGGATTGCTCAGATTCTCCATGTGTCTCACAATGCTTGTCAAATGACTAGTATTGAAAACCCTTTCCATACCAAATACATAAGCTACTACCTCAAACTCATTTTCCTTCTGAAATCCACTGTGGATTTCCTTTAGGAAGTTGGGGCCAGAAGATCAAGACCTTGAGGCTAGCCTTGGTGACAGGAGAATCTTGTCTCAAAACAAACAACAGCAGAGAAAACAAGTTTGTTTGTTGACTTTTCTTTTTTTTTTTTTTGCAAAAGAGAAAGATTGTGAATAGTTTTACTTATGTTAAAACTGGAATTGTTATGTAATTGGAGAACACATAGTGTCAGAAACTAGTATCAAACCCACCCCGTGTATATGTAATAATATAAAAATAATATAATAATAATAAATATATAGATTTTAGTAACAAAAATACACAATCACTGTACTCTACTTATGATATTACTTTATATGTGGTTTATCACATCCCAAATGATGCAATTTTACCACACAAGTGTATATACTCTTCTTCTTGATATTTGACAATTATAGACTATTATGCATCATTTGTTGTCTTTCAAAAACACAATAAGCACTGGAAAACAGCTGGCACTGTGATGGGTTTTGTCCAAGATCATATATGCTCTGACAGAGCTGACCACAGACCTGTCCTTGGTGCCTCCCATTCACCCTCTCCTACTCTGATTTTAGAATTCTGGCAGAAGGGAAGAGAAATAAAGAAAACGACCCACTGCCTTCCATGCGCTATACTTTATCTTGTGAGAATTTATGGGGCTCAGCCCCTGAGAGCAGTGCCTGCGTGGCGATTCTCGCTGGATCTCTGTGGCTGTATATCTTCCCATTTTTTTTATTTGCCATGCTGTAAATCCGTTTTGCAAATAGCCACTCATACAAGAAAGCAACTGTGGAGTGGACAGTGTAGAACTTGCTAAGCCTGTATGTGGCCTAGCAAGCTGTGTCAGCTAAGTGGGCCGCGCTTTTTATCACCATCCCACCACAACTAACATTAACACAGTCTCACCATTCTTTGGCAAATAAAAGACAGTATTGCAATAAAACTTTGCTAGGTAGGATGTACAGAGATGCTTAACTATTTTAGGGTATCTAGTGGGGGGTTTTATGATATTGAGGTAGAAAACTTTATCACCAGGACTTGGTGGGGATAAACAAATGATGTGGTCCTAGCAGGCTACTGTTGACCTTGGCAGAAAGACTTGATAGAAGACATGGATTTGGAGCCTTCCTGCTGCAAAAGTTTTCAGCTTTACCTAAGCAAGCATGAAGTCAGTTTGCATGTTCAGGCTAACATTGTGCAGAAAGCATGCGCTGTGTGTGCATGTATGCACTTTATAAAACTAGAGCCAGCTGCTTGTGTCTGTGGCTCAGATAGCCTCTGACTGGTGGGACCCAGCGTGAGTCATTGAGGGAGAAGGGACTAGATAGAGGCACCAGGGTTCCAGTTAAGAGCTGACCTAGCCTCTTGCCAGGGGCTGAGAAACTGCAGTGTGCCTAGATCAAGGACCCAGAGAGACACAAGGCAGGTGTTTTATCTGGAAGACTTCAGCTGGCACAGTGCCAAGCACAGCAGCCAAGCATGGCAGAGGCAGGCATAGCTGGGTTCCCTGAATGTGTGGTTTTGTGAGCAGGTACCCGGCCTCTGTTCTTTCTGGCTCCGCGCTGCTTCTGTTCTTTACCTTCTTGCTCCCCGCACCCCTGGGGTGGTATTTATTGCTTTAAAAGCTTCAAAAAGTTTGGGAAAACCCTGCACTTGGAGATAATATCTTACTCATAGTTACCTAGGGGAAAAAAAAATCCGAGTTCAAAATTAAACCCTATTTGTCCTAACTGGCAAAGTCGCTCCAGGTGCCTGGATTTGTGCTAGCAAAGTGGATGCTTCAGTCTGAGGATGCCTTTGCTCTTTAAGCAGTACAATCCTGAGCTCAGAAGATCCATAAATTCTGCAGCTCTCCTTACTTTGCCCTTGGCTCTGTCAGCTCTTCCTAAAAAAAAAAAAAAAAAAAAAAAAAAAAAAAACGTCGTGGGGCAGAATGGTGAGGTGGCTTCCCCTGGGTATATCCACCCCCTCTCTAAGCTGCTTGTGGGTTGACAGTTTATGTAACACTAACCCTGAATACGTGGAGCTGACAATTGTCAAGTTAATATTTATACAGAATTTGCTTCATATGCAAAACCAGTCAGCCTCACGTTTTCAGCAGTGGACACTGGTTTAAATGCTTTAAATATCGTGCGGCTGTGGCTGGATCCTACCGTGGCGTAGAAATGCGGTAGCCTGCGTGAGGGCTGGGCCACTTTTAGAGCACGGTAATTATCTCCCTCCAGACAACTTTATTACTATCTCTTGGGAAAACCAAATGATTTTAAAAACAATTCCTTCATGTCTTTCCTATCTAGCTGTGGTCACAAGTTCTCATCAAAGGAATCTTAACTCAATGTTTATTTCTCCTCATTTTTATTCCAATTCCACTGTAGCTTTGCCATTTGGATTAGATCCAACAACCCCCTTTAAGGTCATTCAATGACCCAAATATCTCTTTTTTCATATTTATGATATTGACAACAAGCTTCTGGTCTTATCACTCTATGATCATTGGTCACATTGAAAATATAGTCATTCAGCTGACTAGGGGGTCAAAGAAACTCACAGAGATTGAATTGACAACTAGGTAGCCTCTCTGGGTCTGACCTAGGTTCTCTGCGTGTATGTTATGGTTGTGCAGCTTGGCGTGCTTGTGAGATTCCTAACAGTGGAAGGATGTCTCTGGCTGTTTTGCCTGCTTTTGGGACCCTTTTTCTCCTACTGGGTTGCCTTATCCAGCCTTAATATGAGGGTATGTACTGTAACTTGATATGCCATGTTTGGTTGATACCTCTGGGATGCCTGCCCTTTTCTGAAGGGAATTAGAGGAGGAGTAGGTCTGAGTGAGATGGGAGGTGGATGGGACTGGATGGAAGAAAAGGAGAAAAGAGAAACCACAGGTGGGATGTAATAAATGAGAGAAGAATAAATAAAAAATATATTCATAGTTAAAATGTATATAAATATTTAAAACATTCAGATACATCTGAGCAGCGCCTGTGAAAAAGACATGAATATGTGAATAACAGTCTCATAACAAGTTCTCAATGTGCTTTAATGGTCAGACCCATCATAAACAGAGCCTTGAAGTGCTTGGGAAACAAATCCTTGTCTTGGGGATAACTGCATAGAAGTAGAAATAAAAGGAACTAGGGGAGAAAATGTAATGACATGAGGAAGGATGTCTTTCCTCATTCTCTATCACGTCAGCACTGCCCTATATATTTTTCCCTTATGGAAAATGTAGAATTACATATGCTTGAGTCGTTCAATAATCTTTCTCCGCTTTAAACAAAACCTATACAATTTGTAAAGGCAAAGGCATTGTTTGCTGTTCTCTTCTTGAATCCTCTGTGTCCTGTGTAGGAGACACCATGCTTGCATAAAATGTGCATGGAATTCAGCACATTTGTTCTTTGAAAGAACAAAGTAAGGAATTTTGTACAAATAAATGAAAGAAAAATCAAATGAATAAGTAATAAATCCAATAGATGACAAGGCAAGTAAGGCCCAGGATTCCATAAAGATTTAGAAGGTTTGGCATGGAAACACATACTGAGGATTCTCTGCTCTCTGTC